ATTTCTTTGGTTTCCATTTCTCAAATGTGCACTAGGCCAGGCCCTGCTCTGACTGCATTAGTGACTGTGCTGACACAGAGTCAGGAACCTCTGCTGCAATCCTGGGGAAAGACGCTGTTACATTTGCAGATGAGGGAACTGAGGCCCAGAAACTCCAGGGCTCTGCCTTCAGCTGTGACCCAGAGTGGCTGAACCTGCAGGGAGCACCCCGGGGTGGGGGGCCCTGAGCCTGTTCTTCCCAGGAGGAATGGCTGCCTCCTCTTCCTGTGCACAACCAGTGGGTGGTGTGGGATCATTTCCTCTGATCAGGGACCATTTTCTCTGCGGCAATGCATCCTACTGGGGCCTTTAAATGTTAGTGCAGAAATCTTTTAATGTGGAGAGTGTGAGGATTCACTTGTCAGCAGGAACTGGACGCAGGCACCTGCTGAACCCAGGGCAAGGACCTGGGCCCTGGGAGTATGAGGCTGGGGGTGGGTTCAAATTTAGGTGAATGCCACAGCCACAGATGCCACAAGTCTGGGCTCCTGGAACAGCCGCACAGGCTCGGTAAGGAGGGGTCTGTCTCTGACGCTTCTCAGGGACACCCAGGCCGCTTCTGGAGGTTAAAGAGCTGCAGGCAAGCAGGAGGTGGTCGTCCTTCAGGGTGAGTGGCCTGAATCAGGGTCTCTGTCCTGGTGGGGGTGGGTCCTGTGCACACTGTGAACATTAGCATGGTTTCCTCCATGGGGCCCCTGGGGCTGAGAAGGAAAAGACCTGATTATCTAGGCAGAGGAACTCAGTTGGGATGGGAAGAGAAGGGCTGTTTCTCCCTCAGGCTGCCCTAAGAGTTCTCATTCACCATACTCTTCCCCGCAGGGCTGGGTAGAGCCAAGGCCCAGTGTCTGTGCTGTCGGGATCCTGTGGGGACACCTTGTTGCGGGCTGAGGCTTGTATGGAAAGTTTTGCTTCTGTTAGGGCTGACAGGGCGGCCCTGGCACTGGTTCCCCAAAGAGGGGCTGGCGCTCTGCTGAGGCCCTGTCTCCTGCCTGCCGCCTGCTGGACCAGCCCTCCTCCTCCCGGCCTCTCTCCCCAGCTCTGAGGACATGGAGCACGGCTGCCGCCCCTCTCTGCTCTGCAGTCTCCCCTCCCTGCTTCTCCTCACCCAGCTGCCCACATGGGGCTCTGCAGGTGAGTGTGTCCCTGACTCATTCTGGGTCTTCTTCCAGGGGTGAGAGGAGCCTCTACACTCAGTCAGGACAGGGTAAGGTTTGCAGAGCCCCAGGATCTAGAAAGGTGGTGGTGCTGCCCCAACCACTGGTTGTCGTTAAGAAGTTAGGATGCATCACTAGGTGACCCAGTGAGTGATAGGGATCTTGACCGTTGTCTAAGGATTTTGGGGGGTGGTTTAATATCAAGCATCAATAATTTGACAACCTCTCCCCTCATTTTTGGAGGTCTGAGCATTCATTTGTTTACTTATTTGCTCCCCTAATATTAACAGAATGTCAACTGTGTGTTCTATGACCATGACCATGACCATGACCATGACCACAACAGATGTGTGTGTCTCTGCTCCTGCCTGTGTCTCAGTTCTCAGTTTATTCTGTGTCTGCAGATGAGTTCCAGGTGATCGGCCCCTCAGATCCCATCGTGGCAGAGTTGGGTGGTGACGCCATTCTGCCCTGCTCCCTGGTCCCAGCCATGAATGCCGAGGACATGGAGCTGGGGTGGTTCCGTACCAAGTTCTCAGAACCAGTGTTCATCTATCGGAACCGCCAGGAGCAGAATAGGGAGCTGATGCCCCAGTACGCAGGGCGGACCTCGCTGCTGAGGGAGCTCCTCACCCAGGGGCAGGTTGTCGTGCACATCCAGAAGGTCCAGGCTTCAGACAATGGGATGTACGTCTGCTTCTTCAAAACCAGAAGCTACTATGAAGAGGCCACTTTAGAACTGCAGGTGGCAGGTGGGTGACCTGATCTGTATTCTAGATCTGGACCTTGGGAGTACTGGACTTGGGAGGAAACTCATGTAAAAAACATCTCATTTCATATGTAAGGGAGGACAGCACATTCACTCATTGATGTTCTCGATATAAATCTTGTGCATGGAGCCCCTAGTGTGTCAATCAGGTTTACTCACACATCTTTGGTGTGGGCATGGAAGTAAAACCAAAACCAAAGTTTTCTCCCAGAATTCATCTTTGCAAACATGGTAGGGAAACACAAGTGTTTCATGGCCGAATAAGCACCAAACCAGAACATGAGACACATCACAGGCAGTCCATTAAGGGACTGTACAAAGAATCTCATTGTTTTTTTACTTAGTCAATCAGATGTAACATGAATTCCATTTTAAAAAGATTTTTATTTAGTTTTACTTATTCAAATGAGCAACAGAGAATGATAGAGATAGAGACCTTCTATCTGATGGTTCACCATCTGAACGCCAACAAAAGCACCAATGGCACAAGTGATCTCCAAGCCTCTGCTTCAGTCAGGCTAAGCCACTCTCTCAGTGTGGAAGTCGGGTCACATGGCCAACCTCAGAGAGTCAATGTGAAGGAATCACATGATGAGTGATAGAGGGCTCATTCCATATAAAGATGGGCGAAGTATAGGAGTTATTTTAATAATATGTATTAAGTTCTGAAAGTCTGATTTTCTAGTGTAGGTAAGGAAACCTGACAGAGTTGGGGGGGCATAAGAGAAGGGGGTGAGGAGACAGGATTATTCATTGCTATAAATTTGGAACTGATTTACAGAGAGAGGCAGTGGGAATCCTAGCAGGTGCCTCAGGAGTGAGTGAGGTGAGGAGATCAGAGGTTCAGGATGGAGTCCTGGGGTCAAGTGTCTGCTCCTGGTTTCTCTGGGCCTCAGTCTTCCCATCTGCACAGTTGAGGAGAAAGCCCCCTACTCTGTGCCCCCATGGGTCCCAGGGCTCTTTCCCCTCCTTCAGGCCACGCCCTCCCATGGAATCTCCAGAATGTGACACAGTGACTCCCCTGTAGCTGTGCCACACCCAGACCCTGCTGAGGCCCTGGGCCAAGTGGTCTCCAAGGTCTCCACAGCTCCCCTCTTGCAGGCCTGGGCTCTGCCCCTCAAGTGCACATTGAAGGGCAGGAGCAGGACGGGGTCCGCGTGTTGTGCGAGGCCTCAGGCTGGTTCCCGAAGCCCCAGGTGCAGTGGACAGACCTCAGCGGGAAGAAGTTCCTGGAGTTCTCTGAGGCCCATGCCCAGGACGCAGCAGGGCTGTTCAGCGTGGAGGTGGCTCTGGTGGTGAGAGACAGCTCTGCAGGGAGTGTGAGCTGCTCTGTCCTCAATCCCATCCTGGGCCAGGAGAAGGCGATGGCTGTGTCCATCCCAGGTCGGTGCTGCTTCTCATTCCTGGCAGGGTTGGAGGTGGTGCCGGCATCCCTGAGTGTGCGGGGTGGGCCTGGGTGCTCCCCTGACTGGGTCTCTGCCTGGGCCCCAGAGCCCTTCTTCCCGCAGGCCTCTCCCTGGAAGGCAGCTTTTGCTGGGAGCCTGACCCTGCTGGGGCTCCTGCTCTTTGGGGCTGGCTGCTTCACCAGGAGAGAGCACTCTGCAAAGCTGCAGGAGAGGGAGAAAAGGGAAAAGCTGCGCTGGGATAAGGAGGAGGACCAGCGGGCAGAGGAGGAGGCACTAAAGGCCAGAGGTAGGAGGCCAGGGGCCAGGCAGGTGGGGCAGCTGGTGCTGAGAGGAAGGATGCTGGGAGATGAGTCTGTGGGTTCAGCTCTCCAGAGCAGGTGGCTGTGGAGACCCAGACAGGACAGCTGGAGGCTGGAGCTGTGCGTGGGTCTGGAGTAAGAACTTTCCTTAGATACAGATGAGGTCTTTCCTGTGGGTTCTCCAGGCACATGGTCTCTTCTTTTCTTGGCATGGAAGTTCAAGGTTTTTTCTCTCTTTCAGATGAGCTGCAGGTGGATCTAGGTAAGCTCTGCTCCCCTCCTGAACTCTCTGTGTCCCTTTGTGGAGGAAGCTCTGGGTCTCAGCTCACCTGTTCCCTGTGTGCTGCTTTTCAGGTAGGAGGAAGACAGCTTACCTGGCTGGTGAGTGACTCTCCAGATGTCCCGTGGTCTCTGTCGCACCTGTTCCCAGCTGTTCCCTCCTTGTCTCTGTCCTGGCACAGACATGTGGACCCCTTATTAGTGCAGCAGTGGCAGTGGTGGTGGCAGAACCCTGCTCCCTGGGCTCTCTCACACCCTGGTTTCTGTTTGAAGTCTGGGCTCCAAGACGTGTGTGCAGTGATGGGCATGGAGTCTGCCTGAGTCCTGGGTTTCTTTCCAGTCTAGGCCTCTGCCCTATTTGAGAATTGTTAGTGTTTATCCTCCAATGCTCTAGCTCTTGACTGCACCAAAGGCATATGCCAGAAGCTGTGAGAGTTCAAGACAGGAGTGAGAGGAGCAAATGTGAGGTCATTGTGTTTGGGAGTGCGATTTCTGCCCCCTCCCTCCTTCCTAAACACCACCCAGGGGGAGTCATTCCTGTCCTGCTCTCCAAGGTGCTGTGAAAAAATGAATGGCAGAGGACAGGGCTGCTGACCAGGTGTGGAGATGTGATGTAATGAGCTGAGCACTTCTCAGAGTAGGGATGCTTCTCTCTAAAAGAAATTATTCTAGAGAAATGTTGTGTAGCCTGTTAAACATGAGCCTGCAATTCAGGCATCCCATGTGACTGCTGGTCCATGTCCCGCTGCTCCATTTCTTCCAACTCCCTGCTAATCCTCCTAGAAAAGCAGTGGAAGATGGCCTAAGTACTTGAGCTCCTGCACCCACATGAAAAACCAGGAAGAAACTCTTAGTTTTTGCTTTGCCCTGGTCCAGCCCTGGTTGTTGGCCATTTGGAGGGTGAACCAATGGATGGAATATTCTCTTTCTCACCCTCTGTCTCTGAATTCTGCCTTTCAAATAAATAAATATTTCTTTTTTAGAAAACATTTTCTCAAGGAATATTTGGCCCCTTAGACTCTGCAGTTGGCCTTACATCCATTAATTTCCTCCTTTAATTTCCCCCAATGTCCCTGCCAGGAAATGCTGTACATTTATTAATTGCTATGAAAATGGAGTAAATTGCTCTTTTTTACTATGTTCACAGAGATAGTATTTGGTCCTGATGAACAGCACTGAGGGTCCAGTGACACAGGAGTCTTTGTGGGTTTTGAGGCACGGGGCAGAGAGCTGACAGCCAAAAGTCACCAGCAGTGGGGCAGGGGTGCAGCTCAGCTGTCCTGCAGGCTTCCTGATCTGTGGTCAGGGAGTTTCCCACAATCCTCTGCTGTCTGCACCTGCAGGAGGCCCCTCCTGTGCAGCCCCTCTCCTCCTGCAGAGTCTGACCTTCAGCACAGAGGACAGGGAGGGCTGAGCAGGTGGTGTGGCTGTGGTCTCACCAGGGTGTGTTTCCTTTCAGCCTGGAGGAAGGCGCAGCTGTATGATGGTAAGTGACGCTGATGGCTCCTCTGCCTCCCTGCCCTGCCTCTGCCCTGCCCCTTCTCTACCTGTGGACTCAACTCCTGATGGGCTGGGTGTCCCTGCTCTCCTTGTCAGTGTTGTAGCCCGTAAGGGAAGACAGCAGGGACTCCTCTGTGGGACCACAGCTCTGCTTCCATTCTGGGCCCTTTGTCTACTGCAGGTCATGGTTAGCATTAGCGACACCTTCTTAAAACCCCTGTTCAACTGATCCTTGTCATTGGTGGGGTGACCACCGAGTGTTCAGGTGTGAGGAGAGCCTGGAGCAGGGCACCGACTGCAGATCAGGAAGTGCCGCTCTCCAGAATGCTCTGGAAGTCATGCTGCTCAGGACCCAGAGTTTACTAAGAGGGTGGTGGGATTTTTATTCTTACCCCCAAATTCCTCCCTTCAAGACCCACTTTGGTGTTCCTGGCCCTGGAATATGCTCTTCTCTGCTTCTTCGTGCTCTGAGCACTGTCCAGCCTGGGTTTCTTCCTCTAAGTATCAGTGGTTGCTGAGGAATTAATTACTCTGAGTAAATGTTCTAAATTTGGGCACAAAGCCTCTGGGATGTTTATGGACAGATTCCTGGGTTGGTGTCTCTGGTATATCTGAAATTAATTGCAATGTTTTTGTACTCTGAGCAAGATTAGAAAAGCTTAAATATGTGTTTGATGGGGCTGGCACTGTGGTATGCGGATTAGACCACCACGTGCAATGCCAACATCCCATATGGGCACAGTTTTGAGTCCCTACTGCTTCATTTCTGATCCAGCTCCTCACTGATGTGATTTGGAAAGCAGATGGTCCAAGTGGTTGGATCCTTACACCTATGTGGGAGATCAGGATGAAGCTCCTGGCTGCTGGCATTAGATTAGCCCAGTTCTGGCCATTGTGGCCATTTTGGGAGTGAACCAGTGCATGGAAGATTCCCCCACCCTCAATGTGTGTGTGTGTGTGTGTGTGTGTGTGTGTGTGTGTTTCTTTCTCTCTGTAACTCTGCCTTTCAAATAAAGCATAATTCTTTTACAAACTGTATTTCACATGCAGAGAGTGAGAGCAAGAATGAGAGTGAGAGATACCCGTCTCTCATTTCACTCCCTAGCTGCTAGCAATAGCCAAGATTATGCAAGGCCAAAACCAGGAGCCTGGACCTCAATCCATATTTCTACATGCATGTCAGTAACTCAGCCCCTCAGTGTTGGCTCTGGGGGTCTCCATTGGCAGAATCTGGAGTCTGTAGCCTGAGCCTGAGATGGGGATTGAGGCAGATTTTTCAGTGTTGATGGTGGGTGTTTTAACCACTAAGCTAAGTACCTGCCATGTTTTTTAAAAAAAATTTTTTTTGAGTAAGAGTGAGGGAGGGTGGAAGGGGAGGGAGAGAGGGAGAGAGAAAGAGAAAGAGTGAGATAAAGAGAAAGAGAGAGAGAGAAAGAGAAACACTCTCATTGGCTGTTCCATTCTCCCAAATCTGCAATGGCCAGGGACTTTTTTGAACGGTGCTGGAGCAAAGTCAGGAGCTGAGAACCCAGTATTGGTCTCCCATATGGCTGGCAGAAACCAAATTTGATGCATCATTTACTGCTTCCAAGGATGTGCCTTGGCCAGAGCTGGAATTAGGAGTTGGCTCTGGGAATCAAACCCAGGCCTCTGACATTGAATACAGATATCCTAGCCCCTGTCTTTGCTGGAAGGCCAAACTCCTGCCCCGAGTAGGGGCGTGTGTGTGTGTGTGTGTGTGTGTGTGTGTTTACAGGAACAAAAATGTAATATGTGATTGTTCACTACCATTTTCTCACACCTCAGAAGAATGCTGTATTTAACAGCTCAGGCACTGCTTTGATTTTTTAGGGATGATATATGAATACTGGAAAAGGAGAATCATAGAAAAATAGAAATAATTACCAAGGGACTGAGTATGAAGGAAATGATGTGGAAGGTCAGGAAACCTTAGCATTTCCAGGCCCTGTGGCTGCCCTTAAGGGTGATGTGGAAATGCTGAGAAATCTGCAGAGGTTGGAGTAATCCATGTGAGTGAGTGTGATGATGGTGGATCAACTGCTGAGCTTAAAGCTGCTGCACAAGGTCACACAGTCTGCAGTGGTTCATTACAGAGGAGCAGACAGTGACGTCACCACAAAGCAGGGGACCCAGTGATGAGGTCACGAGGCTTGCCCATCTGGCAGCAGTGAAGTTGTTAAAGAGGCTGCAGAAATACGGTATAGAGGACGTGAATGAGATTGATTTGAGAATTTCTATAACATACGATGTTGAGGGAAGCACAGATACCAAGGGTGATTTATGTCTCAGTGAGCTGTATAAAACAAACTGTAGAATTGAGACACCTTCTGGAAATTGCTGTGAGCAACTAGAAATTCTTGGGAGAGATAACAGAAAAAATTTAAAGCAGAAGAAAGACCATCTTGAATTTGAATCTCAGAGCCTCAGGGCCAGCTGGAATGTTAACAGCTACGTACAGACAAATTAGAATGTCAGCTGGTTGAATATTGAGCAGAGGTGGATAAACTCAGGAAAGGGCTGGAATAATTCAGGTCTCCAATTCCAGAGCTTTGAAGATGACTCCTGTGAGTCACAGAAAGAGAAGCGTCAGTGAAAACAAAGGTGTCTTCTAGGGGCATTTGTTAGAAGGTACTGATCAGTGAAATCACTTTCAATAAACTTCCTTCAATTTTTTTTTCTTTTCTTAAAAAAAGCTGGAGTCAGCTACTCTGATGTGGAACATGGGTATCTCAATTCCAGTTAACACAAGCTCACCAAACTTACATATTTTTTAAAGATTTATTTATTTATTTGAAAGGCAGAGTTACAGAGAGGCAGACACACACACACACACACACACACACACAGAGAGAGAGAGAGAGAGAGAGAGAGGTCTTCCATCCATGGTTCACTCTCCAATTGGACACAATGGCTGGAGCTGTGCCAATCTGAAGGCAGGTGCTTATTCTGGGTCTGCCATGTTGGTACAGGGGTCAAAGGGCTTGGTGTTGGGCCATCCTCTACTGCTTTCCCAGGCCATAGCAGAGAGCTGGATTGGAAGTGGAGCAGCTGGGTCTCAAACCAGAGTCCATATGGGATGCGGTGCTTCAGGCAGTGGCTTTACCTGCTATGATACAGCACTGGTCCCCATTTTGTGTGATTTTGTTTCCTATCAAGAAAATCAACCAAGACAGCAATGCCAACTTCTATGAATGCACCTGTGAAAGTGTGGATGGTGGTCACGATATTATCACCACTGTAGAAATGCATTTTACTATTATTGTAAACCTTCTAATCCTGTGCCTGTGTCCACTGCTCTCATGCTGCCTTCCCTGTAACCAGCAAGTAAAGCTCTCTCACTGAGGACTCCTCAGACTCTGATTGTGGATGGAGCCTTTGCTTTTGTCAGCACCTGCCTGTCTCCTCCCCAGGGATGAGCAAGGAGGTGGAGGAGACGCAGAGGCCTTGGGGAGGTCAGGAGAGGCTTCTTGTGCTCTCCTTTTAGTCCTTCCAGGTGCTCATGCTGGGAAGGCCAGGATCAGCTGGTCCTTCAGCACCTGTGTTGTCAGCTGAGGAAGGGCAGGGCAGGTCCTGTCCCATCA